ATATATATATATATATATATATATATTTTTATTTTTTTTTTTCAAAAGTTATATATACAGAGAGATAAATAGATAAATTATTTAACAGAAATTGATTAGAGTATCAGTTAATTTTTTTTTATACGTTTAATTTGTAACATCTCATAATCTCACACTTGATAATTCATAATTTATATATTATAACATTACATTTACGCTAACATCCCGTAATCTCACACTTTCAAAAATTATAGTTGATATATATCTATACATATGTTTTAAACTCATATTTCAACTACAAACTCATAAATATAACTCAAATTATTCTAATTTATTTTTGTATCTCTTTCTTTATTGGCACTGGATCAGACGACATTCCTTCATCTGCTCCGTATAACGAATTATACGATCATCGCACATACACAAACAAAAACAAGTAAGATGAGCTAACATGCAACAAATCTTTTATAAAACATGCATAATTACTTTGATATAAACATCATATAATAATTATGTCCGACACCCTCATACCATCATACCACAATTCCTATTAGACACTTGTCCCATAATACCCAATAAACACCACAATACCCAATAGACACTCATCTGGATGATACATTGATGAGCGATCACGGGAGGTTATGCACTTGTGATGACTTCTACTTCTTCTTATAAATACACTTCCAAAATACTCCATACCATTCACAAGGTTAGTCCTCACCACTATGTTCAAAATCGGTACATAGACCAGGACCTCCTGCCCCTCGCACCACATAATTCATCATTCTCTACTTGAGACTGGATGATTATTAGAGTATCAGGATAACCTCCAACAACAGGACCCTCAACATCAACATATACACAAATACCACATCATTACAGAATCTCTCCACGAGACTCATACCATGCTCATATTCCTCGACTCACATTATACCATTACAAAATCTCCCCATAATACTTATATCATGTTCAGATGCATAAATTCAAATAAAATGCAATCCTCACAGAAATCATACAAAATGAATGTATAAATAAATTAACAATACTAAAATATTACTATAAATGGTCACCGGAGAAGAATCAAATGTTTGACGAATCAAACTCACTATAAACGCCAGTACATATGACTAGTCACAACTTACTGGATTAGACCAAGGCTGCTCTATGACCAGGGATGTACCAACTTCGGTTTTTAAGATTCCTCTATCCTACCATCACAATTATAATTCATAATTTCGTATTTATCACAATAACATGAATTCATTCCAACGAGATATATTGCATAATAGTTTAACAGTACATAATCTGTTCAACAAAATTTAGAAGTGCGTCACAATGGACAACTTAAGAACCAAATCTTTCCTTAGCCAAAATGTTCCTCAACTAGTTTTAACAAATTTATTATTTACAGATTCAATATAGATAGATATACAGTAAGCATTAACAATATTCACACAAAATTTCAAGACATGAATAGTAATAAAGCAATAGTAAATCATAATATAAAAATTTAGAAGGGTTAGCTCCCCTCTAGACTTCTCTTGCTTTGAATTTATTTCCCCGAAAACCCTTCAGAACCTATACTCTTCTTGCAACTAAAAATTTCTCCCTAACTCTTTCTTCTCTTTGTGCAAAATACCATTCACTCCCATGGTTATTTATGTAAAAAAATTTACTATTCATTAATTTTTTAATATTATTTATTATTTTAATATTATTTAAAAAATAATATTTTAATCGTCCACTTGATCAAATCTGATCCTAATTCCTTCCATGCTAAGGAATTCTTATCCTTTAAAAAAAAAATTATTCACTTTTTACTATTCACTATTCACTATTCACTTTTTACTATTCAATTTTCTTAAAAAAAATCATAAATAAGTTATCAAAAATTTGAACCTCTCCTTCTAGAATTACTATAATTTTAGATCCAAATTTACATTTTTCTATCCATTAAAATATTATTACTAATAAAATACTAAAATTTACTATTATAAATATTTCTAATGAATCTTACATAATATTCTTTTAATACTGAATTCTGAAAGAATATAACGTGATTAAATATGAATTACTGCTAATTCTTTCAATTTGAAATAAATAAAAAATGAAAAAAATAATAAATATTTAATACTTATAAATGAAGTTTATAATAGGTGAAATAAGATTAATAATGATATAAAATATATTAAAGTGTAAGAAATAATAATATAAGAAAATTAAATAAGGTATTTTAAATATCTTATTAAATACTTTTAAAAAAATCAGACTAATTTACATTATGTTAAAGTTAATTTATTGAAAGAGAGCAACTAGATATTTTTTTACGATTAATTAATTATGAATTGAAAGTGTAATAACAGGACCTCCCGGCATAGGACGACATCCAGCCATGTGGACGACCGCCCAAGATGGAACGCCCGCCAATGTGGCGAGCGTCCAACGACGTCCGCCCAAGATGGCATGCCCATCCAAAATACGAGCGTCCGCCCAAGATGGCGAGCGTCCGGCCAACCAAACAGAACGTCATCCCAAAGAGGGGTCGTCCGCCCAAAGATGGAATTCATGACGAGCGTCCAGCCATTGGACGTCCGCCCAAGATGGAACGCCCGTCCAATGTGGCAGCGTCCAACGCCGTCCGCCCAAGATGGCATGCCCATCCAAAATGACGAGCGTCCGCCCAAGATGGCGAGCGTCCGGCCAACCAAGACAGAACGTCATCCCAAAGAGGGGTCGTCGCGCCCAGAGATGGAATTCATACGAGCGTCCAGCCATTTGGACGTCCGCCCAAATGGAACGCCCATCCAATGAGGCGAGCGTCCAGCCAACCAAGGCAGAGCGTATGTACCAGGGAGTGCAGAGCGTCACCTAAATGGCCAAATGCACTCCGCCAACCGGGTAGAACCCCTGTTTGTAAGAGAAAATTTGAAGAACTCACATGGAATTTTATCACCACAAGATAGCACCGCACTCTCTACACTCACAAAAAGTGTTCTTCAGGAAAATGTCGAGGGACGAAACGTCTGGGAATATGTATGACCATGGCGTCAAATCTTCTCGTGTTTTAGATGATTATTCTAATCCTACGCACACTACGTGCACTAGGACTTGGGGGGCTTATGTACCAGAGGTGCCGATGCGTACGGAAGGACGCCCACATGACGCGCCATATGTACCGATAGACGTCTACCCAAAGTAGAACGTCCGCCCGAGGCTTGACGTCCGCGCAAGTAAAATGTCCGCCCCGGAGGCTGGACCGAACGAGCGGCCAACCATTTGAGAAGTGGACGTCCGCCCAATAATTCGGACGTCCACCAAACATTCTGGACGAGCGTCCTTAGCGGACGTCCGTCCAAGGACGTCCGTCATCCGCCAGTCCGCCCAATAATCTGATACGTTTCACGAGCCGGACGCCCGCCCAAGAATTGTACGTCCGCCAAGAGGGGCGTCGCCCAAGGATTGGACGACCCCCAAGAGCTGGACGTCCGCCCAAAGAGTGGATGACGCCCAAGAGCTGGACGTCCGCCCAAGGTAGTGGACGACCGCCCAGGAATGGACGACCGCCACAAGCTGGACGTCCGCCCAGGATTGGACGTCCGCCCGAGAGCAGGACGCCCACCTAGGATAACATCCCTGACCGACCATCATTCCCAACCGACGCACGTTGCTGATTACACGGTTAAATGCTAATGACACATTAAAGTCCTTAACGAAGATTAAGGTATTATTGGGCCGTCCCCAGGCCCCCAAAAGGTAAAAGCCCATTACAATTCGCTATAAATAAAGGTCTCAGGTATGAACTCTGGACTAACTTGAATAACGATGCATCACAGCATTACAATCGCTCTGTCATAATACTGACTTGAGCGTCGGAGTGCCTTTAGCAGGTACCCGGCCCCTCCCCAACTGGGAGTGTGGAGCAGCGCTAGGAGAGGGAGGATGCCCATCCAGGAACAACGTTCGTCCAAAGAGGGAGCGTCAGGAGAGGAGGCTCCGCCCGGTTTGGAGCGTGGAGCGAGCGTCCGGATTGGAGGACGTCCGCCCGTCTGTGAGCAAAGAGGGAGCGCCCGGATTGGAGGACGTCCGCCGGTTTGAAGCGCCATGGAACAGCGATCGTCCATCTTGGTGCCGCCCGTCAATGCAGCTAGCTCCGGTTCGTAGGATTCATGCAGTGTCCGCTCGGTCATGTATCTTCGCCGCCCGCCCGTCCGTCTTCGACAGTAAGTTGTGTGTTTTTACAGGATCCGCCCGGACTCAGCCGAAACAGAAAGTAATAGATTAATCCAAGCGTTATGAAAAGGTGTCAATAAACATAACAATTCAGTTTTTTTCCTTTCTGGGTATTAAAATAACAATAGCAATATTAATGATACAATTACATTTTATAATTTTAGTAATACAAGTTAATAGTATTTATTTTTAATAAATTGAAAAAATAATAAATGCTTTTATAATAGTAAATAAAATAATGTCAATACTATTTTTTTTTCATTTTTATCCAACAAACAATTTAATTCCCATTTTTTTTCTCTGTAATTGGAAACGTCAATTGATGTCTAATGAACCAGTGATGCCATTTGATGTATCTCAGAATCTGTGCAACAAACAATCTTCTCCAGATAATCTTATCTCGAATGTAGAAAACTATTGAATCAACTTTATTCTTCTTTAATCTTCTAAGAACAATGAAAGTAATTTTAACTATAAATTTACGTAAATCAATAACTTTTCATATAACTATTACATTTAACGTCAATTCAAGATTTTATTCTAATAACCGGTGAAACATATTTATACTTATTACAAAATGTGTGAATTAAGTATTGTAAAAGACAATACTATTTAACATTATTAATATATAATTCTCTTTCTTAGAAAATTAATCTTACCATGTTTTTAAGTGTTTTTGCTGGAATATTATTATCGCGTAAGATAATTGTGGTTTTGTTTTGGATGAAAGGGCATGGAACTCACCTTTCGTTTTATGTGGCAATGTTTTTTCCGAGAAAAAGAAAGAAAAATAAATAAAAGGAGAGAGAGTGAGAACAAATGATGAGGCGAATAGATAATGAAGATCGGCGGCGTGGTCGTATACGGCGGAGCTCCACGTGGCAGCGTTGTGCCTCTGCTTCTCCGCCGCCGCAGAGTTTCCCTCCGCGTTTTTTCTTCTTCCTCTTACTCCTCCATTTCTGGTAATGCATTTATCTTCTTATCCTTTAAACCGTTTCGCTCTTTTTCATTTGTCATTTTCATTCTTCCTCCGCAGACCACGTTTCTTTCGTGAAGGATGTGGCTGCGACTCAGCCTCCTCAACATCTTTCACATCTCCTAAATATTTTGAAAACCAGAGGTAAATGAATTCCTTCATGAATCTGAAGTTTTGTGTCGTTATACTTGAACCTGTAGCTCATTTTTTTGGTAGACATGTGGTTTGAATTTCTTTCTCTGAAGAATGATTTTAGTAATTGAATTATGTTTTATTTTTGTTTATGCCTTTGATTTAACAGGTGAAACTATTGTCTCACCGGGTGCCAGGCAAGGATTAATACCTCTTGCCATCCCGCTGACAAAAAATAGTTCTGGTATGGGTTTAGGGTTAACCAGTTATGTACTGTGACAAATTTTCAAGTTCAGCACTGTTTGTGACAACTTTCTTGGCAGGTAATGTGACTGCACTGCTGCGGTGGCCCACGGCTCCACCCGAGTAAGGCTTCGTGACTGTTCTCTGCCGTTGTTTACTTACTACTGTTTGAATCATCCCATGGTTATGAACAAATACCTGCAGGATGGAAATGCCAGTGGTGGAAGTAAGAAAACATGGAGTATGGCTTTTGGCCAAGACTGTAAGTGGAGTGTGCTTGGTCATTTCACTGCATTACCATGTTTGGTTTTACTACATTGTGCTGTTGATTAATTGGGAATCGATTTCAATTGTCTATTTTCAATTTACAGGTAGACCAATTTATACACCGAATGATAGTTGAGGAAGATGTAAAGAACAGTCGGGAGAGAAATGAAGCCGTATTTAATGCTTCGGCTGATGCTGGGAAGAAACTTTACAGAACGGGTGATTTTGCAGAGTCTGGAATTTCTAACCTTGATGTCTATCTTTTGAAAAAGGTATTTACAAGATTTTAGACAGTGGTTTTGACCTTCTTGTAAAATCATGCGTCAGCCTAACTTGTTTTCAGGTCGGTATATTTCCAGATATCATAGAGCGCAAAGTGATGCGGCATTTTGAGGAAGGAGATCATGTAAGACGCCTTTACATTTTAGTTTGCCACTCAATTTTTAGCCATTCATATAAGTTGATACGTGTTGAGTTTGTTTGTGTGTGGGAAGGTTTCAGCATTAGTAACTGGAGAATTTTATACCAAGAAGGAGCATTTTCCAGGATTTGCACGACCTTTTGCGTTCAATGCGGAGGTTTTGCTGAGGTTGGTGTAAAAATTTTCTGATACTTCTTCCAGTTGCTCAAGATGGGAAAACTGAGCTTATTGCTGCCTTTCTGTTTAATAATTTTCTACAGGGTTGGTCGTAAAGTAGAAGCTAAAGATGCTGCTAGGGGAGCTTTGAAATCACCGTGGTGGACTCTGGGTTGCAAGTATGNTTACTTACTACTGTTTGAATCATCCCATGGTTATGAACAAATACCTGCAGGATGGAAATGCCAGTGGTGGAAGTAAGAAAACATGGAGTATGGCTTTTGGCCAAGACTGTAAGTGGAGTGTGCTTGGTCATTTCACTGCATTACCATGTTTGGTTTTACTACATTGTGCTGTTGATTAATTGGGAATCGATTTCAATTGTCTATTTTCAATTTACAGGTAGACCAATTTATACACCGAATGATAGTTGAGGAAGATGTAAAGAACAGTCGGGAGAGAAATGAAGCCGTATTTAATGCTTCGGCTGATGCTGGGAAGAAACTTTACAGAACGGGTGATTTTGCAGAGTCTGGAATTTCTAACCTTGATGTCTATCTTTTGAAAAAGGTATTTACAAGATTTTAGACAGTGGTTTTGACCTTCTTGTAAAATCATGCGTCAGCCTAACTTGTTTTCAGGTCGGTATATTTCCAGATATCATAGAGCGCAAAGTGATGCGGCATTTTGAGGAAGGAGATCATGTAAGACGCCTTTACATTTTAGTTTGCCACTCAATTTTTAGCCATTCATATAAGTTGATACGTGTTGAGTTTGTTTGTGTGTGGGAAGGTTTCAGCATTAGTAACTGGAGAATTTTATACCAAGAAGGAGCATTTTCCAGGATTTGCACGACCTTTTGCGTTCAATGCGGAGGTTTTGCTGAGGTTGGTGTAAAAATTTTCTGATACTTCTTCCAGTTGCTCAAGATGGGAAAACTGAGCTTATTGCTGCCTTTCTGTTTAATAATTTTCTACAGGGTTGGTCGTAAAGTAGAAGCTAAAGATGCTGCTAGGGGAGCTTTGAAATCACCGTGGTGGACTCTGGGTTGCAAGTATGAGGTATGAAATGATCATCAGTTTGGTTTTCTAGTTTAACTATAAAATTGTGTCATATCTCTTTTCTTTCTTTACATACTTTTCTGTGTTACCCTTTTGTATTTCTTTTGTCATATTCATTTTTGTGTAGGACGTAGCTAATATAGCACAATGGGATGATGAGCAAATTGAGTACATTAAAGAGAGGGTGACTGAAGAGGGAAGGCAAGAAGATATTAAAAAAGGAAAGGCCCCTGAGCAGGTGCAATATAGTGCGAACTATTTATTAATTTAATTTGAATATCTAATTCAAGTCTATAGCATCAAACATTCATGGCTGGGGTGATTGCTGGTATTCATCTTCATCTTGCTTTAATCTTCAAATCAACCGCAGGTTGTGCTAGACGAAGCCGCTTTCTTGTTGGATTTAGCTTCTGTAGAGGGAGAATGGGATGACTACTTAGAGCGGATAGCCAAATGTTACGAGGAAGCAGGACTTCCAGATGTTGCCAAATTTATACTTTATAGAGATTGATTTAATTAACTAATTTTGTTTCCAACATGCATCAGTGCATGTCCATCTTGGCATGTCCATCTTGGCATGTCCATCTTGGCATGTCCAGTGCTTCGTATGAAGTTTTGAAAATAATTAGAGGAAAATTATACGATTTATTCCGCAGGTTTTGATATTGTTTCCCTGAGTTTCGTTACAGTCAATCCATTTAACCTGAACTCCTAAGATGCTTGTTTGTTTTTGTTTCATTCTATACATGCAAAAATAAATGACTTTTTTTCATTCCTAATCCACTTGGCTCAGTCTTTATTCTCTCTCGTAAACATATATGTATACTGTTGGATTATTTGCATTCCCTACTCCTACAATCAATACTTATCATGTTATTGCAGATTGGCCAAGCAAATTAGTGTTGAAGCTAATCGAGGCCTACATCAGTGCCAGTAGTAACTTGTAATTCATGTGCGTCCCACGCTGTTAAGCTTAGTGATTACTCGCTTGAACTTTTTTTTCATCTTCTGTTCTGGTCCAGGTTAAACAGCACACCACACGATACCTTATGCATATGGATATATGATAATGTATTTATATTGAAGTATCTGAGGAAAGTACAGAAGTTTTAATTTATCCTTGTTATGAATAGTAAGAAGGAATAAATTGTTAGTGTAAATAGTCTTTATTTCTTTTAATACTTCAAAAATTTACATTATCATGAATACAATTAATATAAAAATATTAAGTGTTCAACTAGAATAAGAGAGTGGATGGATACCTTTTAAATTTAGCTTCTATGCTTAGAGACGTACCTCTTCACTCAATTTTATAACATGTTAGTTCTTCTACAATCTTAATGTTTTATTCAAGTTTCACTTCCTTCACTGTCCATTAAGTTTCTTTTATGCAAAAAGACATTAAACACGAGTTTAGTTAAAATAATGTATGTTTTAAGAATGGTGTTTAGTAAAAGGTGCATCAACATGAAGTCAAAAAACCTATATTAAAGCATCTTTGCTATAAGATTTTATTTTGAAATTTGGTACTAATTTTTGGTAAGTTTTTCAATGCCAAGATATAAAATCTCTTCAATGTCTTTCAATTTTTCTCTACTGGTAGATATCTTTTTAAGATCTTATTAATTTCTTGTTGGCCCCACGACTTTTTTGCAGTAGGAGATCACTTAAAATATGTTTTTTATTTTCTTATTCTGAAAATATTGAGAGTTTTTATTAAAAAAAAATATTGAGTACATTAAAGAGAGCTTATAAATATTAGATGTTATATTTATCCGACAAGGCTTTTATTTAATTTTTGTTTGATCCAATTGTAAGTTGAATATTATCCTAAACAAAGCTTGGAATTGAAGAAAATCAAAAGCTACTTTTGCAAATTCAATTTACGAAATAAAATTCATTCAAACTTAAATTTGATACAAACTCGCCCTAGACGAATATACCTGTGCTTGTACAAATCAGATGGCCACTAATGAAATTGTCTTCCATACATAATTTTGGTAATTATTTCATCAATAAAATTTACATAGAAAAAACAATATGTTATAACCCTAGCTCAACACTTAAAAGAAAAAGTTACACAACTAGGAAGGTTGACACGAACTCACAAAACCTGGTAAGTGTATATGCCACAACAACTGTTTCATGCATCCAATAACTTGGAACTTTCAGCAGTTAATTCAGTCGTATAAACAAGAGAGCCAAGAGCAAAGACAATAAACATCACTCCATTAGAAATATAGCAAAGATGTAATTTGTTACCCTGTCTCAGGAATTACTAAAACAGCACTACAAATGCTTTTCATGTGTTCAACGAAAACTGTGCTTTCTTTTTGGATTTCTTTCTCCCAAATAGCCTTCTCCAAAAATTTCGACCACCAGATTTCTTGGTAGGTACGATGGCCAAAGAATTAACACTAGCACTGTCTTCCTGGCCTTTAAGTCCATTCAAAAGTAAAATCTTTTCCAGGGGCTGTTTGAAACTTGGAATGCTGATAGGACTGGAGCTTCTTTCACTTGCTGTGACAGCATTTCCATTTGCTTTGGTATCATCATCTGCCACCATCTGATCAAACAGAGAAGATCGATTTTTCACTTTCTTTTCTTTCAGGGGGACAGGATTCGTGTTTGTGACTGTACGACGTTGAGAGGCAATGGCATTGTCAAAAAGAGAGGCATCCTTTGGTGCAGCTAATGCCTTCAACTGCTTCCCAAGGTTAAGAATGGTTTCTTGACACTCTGCCAACTTTTCCGATGCCGCGGTAATCTCCCAGTCCTGCAGGATCCGGATCGATAAACAGCCTTCAAATCAAAAAGTACATATTGATATGCACACGTAATCAATGAAGTCAATATTCTACTTACTGCATAATGGAGTAGTTAAATTTATACTAAATAGCAGCCATTCTTCACTCACCAGGGTAGATGGCCCTTGGTCTGATCAAACCTCTCAAAACATTAAACACATAATCAGGCTTCATTTTCATTTATTTGTATCCATTTGTTAAAGGATTGCTACAAGTTCATATCTAACAGTTGCTAAAGGCTATGATAGAGTGGAAACAGGACGTATGGGGTTCCATATTGATATCTGGCAGTACAATTTAGTACCTTCATCAAAAGTAAAAACTAAAGAGGGAAAACACTTTTTTGTTAATATTTTCAGCCGTAATATGCAAAAAAGATAAAATAGTCTCCTGAAATTATTGTCTCGTTTCATGACTAATCAAAATTCCTATTCCACCTTCCCACACTAAAATTACAGCAGCCTAGCACCTGGGTATAATTATTTGGAAGGAAACAAATTATGTGAGCCAATTTCCATTTTGTTTCTTAGATTTAGGAGAATTGTATATTGGATATGGTTTTGGCATTCAATGCTTCAAAAGCACTTAAAAGAAATCAATGAACTGAAGAAGTAAGTTGTTCATCATCCTCGAATTTGGGATCTTCCGATTTAGCTTTAAAATCCAAGTTAGGATAAGAACTATATATTATTCAATATCAAATCCATATCTAGTTGAAAACGCTTCAAATTTATTATATCTTCCAGAATGCCATATAAGATAGTGATCTAATTAATCTATGAGCCATTGAGTATAGGCCAAACAGGAATAAAATGGGATTGAGAAGAGCTTACAGTTTGTAGTGGCTCATCTTTCTGATTAATGTCCTTGTCTTTCTTTGTCATGCTGTGAAGATAAATTTGATATGTGAGTGTGTCAATCTTCAAATAAGAGATTAAAAACTAAATGTTTGAAAATCATATCATATAGTAACAAGTATTGTAAGATTAGGATTATGGATACCTTTCAAACTGGAGCTGAAGTTCGACACATTTGGTCTCTAATTCTTCACAATATTGATTTTTGCTCTCCAGTTCCACTTCTAATGCTAAAACCCTGTGATTAGCCTCTTGTAGTTCGGTTTCTGTAAGCTGAGTGTCAAGATCTTCATTTATGAATGCATGATTTTGTATTTGATCCTCAAGTATTCGATTCAATTCTTTCACAGTTTGTAACTCCAATCTCAAGCTGCCAATAGTCTTCTCTGATTCCTGAAGTTGATTTGTAGCTGATTGGAGCATCCCTTCCAAGGCTTCCTTCTCATATTCAGAACTGATCACTTTATCTTCAATATTTTTAATTTCTTCCTTGTCAACATATGGCATCTCTTCAGTTGGAACACCTTGACAATCTGAATTAGTTAGAGGAGGCAAACATGATATCTGTTCCCTAGTAAGATGCAACTTATATGCATCTGCAGACATCGCTGTTTCAGCTTCGTTTTCACTAAGTGTCTCATCCCAATCAAATTGTTTTTTAATGGCATCCCTCATACTTGAAACATCCTGAAGAGAAAAGCAGTGATTCATAATCCAGTCCAATGCCGTAGTCAGTTCTGTGGCAAATTTTTCATGGTCAGCCTTGTTATTGAGTAAATCGTAACACACATTGAGAAATTGCTGTAGGACACTACTAAGTTCAGATGTTTTCCACTGGAAAACACGGACCATGTAGCCTGTAGGCATTCCTTGACTCTTATCTGTACCGCTATTTTCTCTTTGGTACAAAGAATCTGAATTATCAAAATCCTCAGCAGGCATGCTGATCCCTTCAATAAGCTCAATTATCTTACCTATTGACTGTCCAATATCCCTTTGAGATTGCTGTTTAGTTCCCTTTATTGATAAAATCTGAGCATCAGTACCACACGGATCTTGCCCAGAATTGTTCAAAGGTTCCCATGAAGTGTGCTGACTAAAATGGAGAGGCTTAGATCCATCAAAGTGACCTGAGCCTTTGCTTGAATCAAACGTATATTGATCTGTATTTTTTAGATAGCTCAAAGCCAGTCTAATATCCTCACGTATGTCATCGAGGTTCTTATGAGTGGCACCGTTTTGATCCATTATCATTTTAACTACTTCCAGAAGCCAGCCAGGAATATCACCCTTTAACATGTCATTAGAACATGATTCCTGATTTGAAATGGAGAACTCTGACAAATGATCAGACACAGGAACGATCTCCTTACCTGTTACTCCAGAGCTAATCTCGTTTGGTCTAGTCTCCGAGAAGCCATCTATTTCATTATTTTCTTCTACAGAAGCTTGCGAAATTTCAGTGGCATTTTCAACAGAGACCACTGCTAATTTTTCCATTTCAAGGAAGTCATCCATAAGGCTTAAATCTGAGGGTCCAACATTTTTACATGATAATGATTCCTTCTGCCGTATACTTCTAAAGTGCTCCAATTCTGAAATCAATGCAGAAGCCCAGGAATCAGCACAGCTAACCTTGTCATCACTGCCAATATCAGACATTGACGACAAAGATAAATCTCGAGTTGCAAGATTACACATAGGCTGCTCCAAGGTCACATGGCCTCTAGATTCAATCTCTGACTCAAGTCGCATCAGTTTAGAAGCCGTGCGAGCAAGCATTGCTCTTGAGAATTGGACTTCATTTATTTTCCTATTTAGTGATTCTTTCAATGTCTTGTTTTCTTCTTCCACTG